AAATAAACTGAAGAGAATTAAAATAATTAAGGGTTTTGTGAACCTGCTATGAATGGGAGCTTCTAGAATAAATAACATTATTTATTCCCCTTTAGGCTCGGTTTGTTTTTCTCAACATGTGATTAAAACATGTTTTCTTTCTTATGACCCCTGGTTGTTCCCGCATGCAGCCGGCTGATCATGGCAGATTTGTTGTTTTTTCCTGATTAATAAGCATTCCTGCTGCTGGCATGCCGCTCCACAGCGAGCCAGAGGAAAAACCAATCTGCCCCTCATGTTACTGTAATCTGCAGCATGTGACCTCCCCCCCTTTCAGCTCGATGACGGAGGGATGCTGGAAAACCTGCGGGACTCACCAAACCTGCACTGTTCAGTGCGAGAGGATTTAGGGACACATTATATTCCCGGGTAAATCCTCTCCAACTCGTTACCAAATCCTCGCTGCAGGGCTGCTAATCTCCAAAGTGAGACGGACCAGGTGCCAGTCTTTGTGTAATGGAATTGCACAGCACATTAAGTGATTGCATCAACAATCTCTCACTCCTCCATGAATTAGATTAGACGCGGGAGGAATCCTGCTTGTGCACACAGTTAAAAAACACAAACACCCCCCAAAAAAAAGAGGAAGAAGAAAAAAAAAAGACCTGCTAAAAGGTGACCAAGGATCCTCCTGCACAGCTGACTGTGACACACTTCCTGTCTGCAGGTTTGAGATTTTATGTGAGCAAATAAATGCAATGATTGAATGCATGCAACCGAGTCTCAGGTCAAACCCAAACACTTTTGGATGCAGGTTTTGTTATCAATATTTATCATATATTATATTATTAGACTATATTTTAAAAACATCCTATAAAAAAAGCAGAAATCATGTGAAACAAATAATTGGACTGAAAGTGGAAGGAAAGATGTTTTCTATAAATAACATCCTGAATAAGATCCTGCTTTTGTTCTGCTGCTTTAGTAACTGATAAATGCAGTAATTAAAATGTCTGAGAGGGAGAAGCTGCTCCAAACACTTCCTGACTGATAAATCAAAGCTTCCCGGCTGTGATTAAAGGATTAAATTGAAATAAAAGCAACATATAGGCTGTAATCTGTGTTTGAACATGACGGGGAACACAAAGCCAGTGATTCATCAGACTGGAGGCGCGGCGGCAGATTAACACGCCGCAGGGCCTCGGTTTGGAGACTCAGCAAACATCTGGAGGCGACTTCATCGCTTTAACTAGACTCTGGATCCACCAACAGCATCAGTTCTGCTCCACCTTTAGTCTGACTAATGAGGCGACGCTAAAAACGCTGAAAAGAATCAGCTTTTCCTGCTCGGCTGCAGAATTTCAACTAAAATAAGATTCTAGGTTAGATATTTATATCCAGGGAATTGGAAAGTCTGTGGACAGAAATCGGATTAGTTGGACATAAAGCAGGATCCTAGCGGCACGTAAAGATGTTATTTTATATATATGATGACTTAAAATAAACCAGAACATGAGAACAGGAAGACACATCTGTGCAGGAACCCAAACAGCTGTGGGGATTTTTAGCCATAGATTTAGGATGAGTTACAACTAGAATTAAAGTTCAACTCATGATTATTATATTTCTATTAATTTGATGTCTTCCTCATGCATATTGAATATGGGTATTCTCATCTGATATCACCTCTTATCAAACTGCTTTAGCTCCCATCCGGACATTTTATTTTGTGTTCTTGGTTCTCCCGCTCCAGCAGGGGCTCGAACCTCCAGAACAAAACGAGAGCAAATTAAACCCCATGAGAAAAAGTGGATGAAGAAGATAAAGGCGACGTTAGGTCCTGTGATGTTTATCATCAGGACCGCAGGGAGGAAACAGGAAGCAGCTCCAAGTCCAATTTCCTCCGAGTTCTGCACCGTGTGACGACTCTGAAGACTGATCCTCCTCTACGGAGAGAGATTTGTTCCAAACTGATTGAAAACAGGGACATTTGAAAAAAAACGGGTTTGGAAAGAACTTTAAAAAACTTAATAAAAAGGAACAAATGTTTAAAAGTGTTTTATAATCTGTATGAAAAAGTTCAATATTTCTTTCCATTTTTTTTCGTTGTTTATCCAAATACATTTTTTTCAGTTATCTTTTCCCTTTTTATTAGATGTCTTTTCTTTTTTTTTTAAAGTTTTTTCAAGGTTAGACGGATTTTACAGATTCGTTCTTCCAATCCTGTTTTTTTTTATTTCATCCCGTATAATTTTCGGTCGGGCAGCGTTTCTATTGGTAGTGTAAAATGGAAAATTGAGAAGAAAATGAAATCTAAAAAAATTTGAAAAAAAAAGTAAAAAATTAAAGTGAAAAAGGAAAATAATGAAAGCAAAAAAATAATTTGTGAAAATAGCATTATGGACTTCTACATTATTTTAAATAACTCTCAAAGTCTTTTTTTAAAGATCCATTATCTAAATTGTGCTTTCTACAAATTGGTTTTTCATCCCGTATAATTCTCGGTCGGGCAGCGTTTCTATTGGTAGTGTAAAATGGAAAATTGACAACATAAAATCTAAAAAAAAAAGGAACATAAAATCTA